GGGGACCCTTAACATGCAATGAAATAGTTTAAGTCTAGGCATCATGCATGTGAATACCTAAATCTCTTAAACTCAAGCTCTGATACCAACTCTGTAACACCCTCAAACCATACGTTGCATATAACACATAATTCTTTCATAGAATACATGTTAAGCCCACAAAGGTACATAATACAAGAGTCTATAATGTAAATTATACAACTCAAAAATTTCAAAAGTACATGCTCTTGTATTTTGACATCTAAACTTCAAAACATGGCTAATAAAGATCTTCATACATCTAAGCACATAGGAAATAATTAACATAATGCTCTTTCCCTTACTATCATTACTTGCACACATATTTTGAAAACACAAAATGAGGGTTAGACATGAATGTCTAGTGAGTTTCCCTTTTTATGTAATGCAGGGTGTAGATCACCAAAACATTTATTTGAAATGTATCATTAAATTCAAAAGATAAAAATTCATTCTGTTTAAGTTCATCGGGCCTCTGGTCTCAATTATCTTACTTAAAAGTAATTTATCAAATAGGACCAGAGCCCCTCTGGTTCCTCTACCGGATCCTCTGGTTCCTTGACCAGAGAGCCTCTGGTTGTACTAACCATAGCCTCTTGCTCAGGTAATTCCTCATAATATTCCTTGTCTTGACTTTGCAAAAAAAGAAATAGCTTTTCCATAACTAAAATGATTAAAAGAGAGTTCATGTTCGACCAGAGCCTCTGGTTGTACTAACCAGAGCTTCTGGTTCAAATGACATGACCAACCAGAGCCTCTAGTTCAACATGTAAACCAACCAGAGCACCTATGGTCTGTTTTTCATAAAAGATTCTAAGTATAAAATTCTTTTCTTAAAAACTTCTTAAAATAAGATTTTGACACAGAAGCTCTTATCAATAGATGCAGAGCCTCTGGTTCAATTAGTATATTAAGAACATGCATATTTCTTAAATCAAATAACCAGAACCCTCTGGTCCGATAGTGAGGACCAACCAGAGCTTCTCTGGTTCCTCATGAAAATGAACATTCTGTTCCAAAACACTTTTAACCAAAATTAATGACCATAGGCCACATTTTTCCCGTAACCATAACACCAATACTATTATATCTAATAAGAAAAACATCTCTGAATCCTCAAATCATCAAGAAGTGAGAACTCCAATCTATTGTAGTCTTAAAAGATATAATAGCAATAGTTATACCATGCATACACACAATAACCATCCTTATTTCATCCATATATCCCCTTTATAGCAATAGCTATCTATCACACACAACGACCATCCTTATTTCCCCTGAAATTCTTATGAACTAATTCATCCAATGACAGGCTACAGGTATTTCTGTCAGAGTGAACCTTGTTCATAGTTTTAACCAATCATAATCTCAAAAATAGGTTTATATTCAAAACCTTCCAAACCTTAGAACAATCTGTTCTGTAAATAATTTTTCAAATCATCTATTCCTCTTTAAATCCTCAACACATGATATCAAATCTGAAGCTGCTTTTAAAGCACAGTTTCTGCTTAATCTTTTCAAAACAAATTCAAATTCCAGAATCTCAAAATACTTCCTTTAAAACTATTTAGAACAGTTTTACCAAAATCTTTTAAATCTTTAAACCATCAATACTCAACAGTTTTATAAGATCAAACAGCAGATAAAGAATTTACAGTTGGTAAATAGGCAGTAATTAAAAAAACTCACCTTGATAACACAGATTCTTCAATGACTTTTAAAACAACAGTTTTTCCTCAAGAAGTGTTCTTCACCGCCTCAAAATTCTTCTCTCTCTCAAAACAAATATCTTTTTCTAAAATGGTCCAATATCATCTTATATTTTCTTCTTTCTATATATAATTTTAACAATGGCGGTGATAGTTTCTATGATAATAAAATTCTTGGCGGTGAAGGCTTTAACCAATAAGAGTAATTTAGGCGGTGGGTTTTTATTATAAAACTTGTGATTTCTTAACCATGAAGTTTTGAGTCTTATATATATATATAGGAGCGATCAAATGAAAATCACTCTAATTTGTAAAAACCGTAAAAAACTACTCTCATCCATCGTTAATCTTATGAATTTTTTTCATGAAATTGTTAATCTTGT